TCGCGCAATCTTCTCCGTCTATTTCTCATCCTCGAATCCTTCGATTCCACGTTGCGGTGCCTCTTATATCCGGCGACCTCTTCTTCTTCTTCTTCTTCTTTTTCTTCTTATCTCCCTTCGAAGATCTTGCAACGAGTTCTAGAATCGAGGCGCCGCGAAACATCCAAGTTTTTCCTTGGCCCTGGCTGCTCCACTTTCGCCGATCATGGCCTATCGTTTAATTTACAGAGAGGCAAGAAATCGTTTCGCGGAAGCTTTCGTGATCTAAGCAGCGGCGGATTAAGAGAGGAAAAGAAGAAGAGGGAGAGGAAGGAAAAAAGGAACGAAGATGAGAAAAAAGGGAGGAACGAAAAGGTACAAAGAAGGCCGCGTAGTCTTCTTCTTTTTAGTCGTGGTGCCTTGGAGCCGCTCGATATATTTATTACAGCGGAACGAAGTTATTGCCTGTCGAAGCCACGATCCTCGCCGACGATCATCGGAACGAATTATTCGCGTTCCTTTTGCGCCTTCTAGGAATCGGCTTGGCCCAATTCCCTACCACGCGTCACCCAGCCGAGTCGACTCGAGTCTTCTCGTCAAGAATCATTCGCCAACGATTACTCGTACTATACGATACTTTCTTCTCGTCGTCCTGCTCGATCGTTGTCACGTGCGAAAAAGGAATCGATCGAATAACGAAATCTCGGACAACGCGAGACAGCGTTTCGATTGACTCTCTGTGATTTTAACCGGAGATCGAACGCGAGTGGAGTGCAATTCGATCGATTCACCGAGATGATCCGTCGATCAAAACGGGATCCGTTTCGTTGTTTATAAAATCGGCTCGACCATATCGATTCCACCTCTTCCTTTTTTGAGTTTCCCGCCACGATGATGATTCACGCGGAAATCTCGCGGCTCGATTAGGAACGGAAATCGGCGTTGATTGCTGGAACGCGTCCCCGCTCTGTTAAATTCGCGATTCCTATCTTTTTCCACGCCGCGAAATTGACTCATTTATCACGAGGGAGAGAGAGAGAGAGAGAAAGAGAGAAAAGAAGAAGAAGCACGCTAAGAAGACTATGCATCCCATTCCACCGGGCCAAGATTGCGTATCACTGAAAAAAACGGCTCGCGTAGCTTTCACCGCGTGCCATCTGCTCGCAACACGAGACGTCACGTTTTTTTTCTTCTTTTTTTTTTCCTTTTTATTTTTCTCATTTTAATTATTCTCGCGTCAATGTTAATTGCGAGCGCGATCGCCTTGGAGAATTGCATTCGCACTTCTCCGAAGGAAACGGATCGATTCTAATCTCGAGCGAGCGTGGATTGCCACACGATTTCGAGGTTACGACTTTTTCAAGGTATCTCCGAGTTTTAATGCGTGTATACATCGCAGAGCGTAGGTATGAACGCAAAGGAGTAAAAAGATGGCGAGATTGCCGTGGAAAGCGGATGGAAACGCGCGGTTATGACACATCCTCGTAGAAAACGAGCACGAAAACGGTTATTAAAACCGTTTCGCGGTTATAAATAATAAGATTGGACGTTGAAACGTAGATCGTTCTCCGGGAGAAAGTCGCGTGACGTAATTTTCGTCAGGACCCCCCTTTCCGTCCAGTTACTCGACGCGGAAGAGAATGTTTTTCTCCTTTCTTTTTTTTTTTTTTTTTTTTTAACGAGCCACGTAGTCCAACGGTACACGACGATTCGATTAAAGACAAGAGAGGATACACCGCGGGGAGAGATGGATAGATTTTCGCGCCAGATGGACAGCCGTAAAAAAGATGGTGGTAATACTAATACGAACGGTACATACGAGGCTACTTTTGGCTACGAGGACTGGCTGGATTGCCGTCACGTATCGACGCCGTCCCTTTTCTGCTCGATCGTGTATCGGGCATCACAATGCCGTAATATCATACGCGGGGACTGCGAAGTAACGGGTGTTCGCGTGGATTTAGCGATGATTTAATCCTCCGCACCACCAACTTTTCTATGCAATCCAACGCTTTCGTTTGTCGGCGAGTAGCGGTATTTCGGATCATTGTCGTACGCTTCCTGTATTCACTGTCCGCTATGAAAATGCGTCTCGGAAATTCCGTTTTATGCGCAGTTCTCGCGGCACAATCCAATCCTCTGTGGACACACATATATATTTCGAAACGTTGCATCACGCTAAAATGTTGTTGAAATTTTATTAACCTTATCTAACTTCTCAAGGTTATCGAACGTTGAATTCTTTTTTTTTTTTTTTTTTTTCCTACGAAAGTAACGCGAAAAACACGCGAATTCACTCGATCGTATCGAAATATCTGGGAGGGGATGTCATCGAAATCTCATCATTCAACGAGAGTTCAAGGTTAGTCCGAGATTATTCGAAGTTTATCGATATCGCGACGTGGTTTAATAAATAGTCGCGATATAATAATTATTTTACAATCGATCCGAGACGTTCGAAAGCGAATCGTTGGAAAGATCATCGCGAAAACCTATTAGCAGAACGATCCAATTTAACCGTGGAAAGTCCAATTCGTCTTATCGTGGCGATACGACAGGATTACGGTGAACAAGTACGAATACGATCTCTGTCAATCGTCGGGCTGTCGGCAGGCTGTCTGCGTCCGGTTGGATCGCACGAGGCTATCGGACAAGTCGACTTGGCATATTAGTCCCCATAAAAGGGGCATCGATCGCCATTTGAGCGAGTTAGTACACGAGGCACGCACGCGGAAGATCAAGCCGCAAGAAGCTTCTCCGCAGAGTGGGTAACAGTATACGATCGATGTAGCTTGGCTCGGTTCGGTGAAGTACAGCGGTTTAACTTCTCTCGGTCGAAAGAAGTTTTTCTCTTCCGTGTGATTTCATCGTGAGATCCATCGGAAATTTGAAGTTGCCGCGTTCATAACGCAAGCCTCGGATTCGAGAATTCGGAATCTCGGAATTGCGAAAACGAAAACTTTTTGCGAAAGTCGGGTAACGAGGAGACAGTTAATCGAGCTCGATCGAACTTGATACTGGAAACTCGGTGGCGGTAGACCACTTTCATCGAGCAGATAACTGCCTCGATGTTGTAACACGATTTTAAACGAGGCATCCAATTATCCATTCGTAAGTAGCTGGATCAAAGGTCTGTGCAATAAACTTGACAAAATCTCGAGCGATGGTTCCCCCCTCCTTTTTTGAGTTTTGGCGCATATGATTTAAGTATATCTTTATATTTTCGAATTTCAATCTTAAAGTTCAATCGTTTAAAATCGAAGCTATAAATAGGAATATCCGAAAAAAGGAGAAAACAGAATCGAGTCACGTTGACTGTCTGCAAAACCGTTAAGTCGACCGTTATCGTGAACCTTAAACCTGATTTTCAAACATTTGTCCTTTCACGAGCAAATTAATTAAAAATCGGCCCTTTAATAATAATTCGAGTAATCTCGAATTGAAAGATATACACGATACGATGGAACAAGAGCAAATACTTGTGCTCTTTCAACAGGACGTTTCTTTCAAAATGAAAAATCTCGAGAGTCTTTACAATCCTTATTTCGATCAAAAGTTATCATTTCATTCTTGATCCGTTCGTTTTCCCAGATCATTCACTGCAATTTCGTAGAATGCGATCCGAGAAAAAGGTTTTAACGGTGGTCACGCATTACGCGAGATAGTTTGGATGCAGTTTCGTGAAACATTGTTCAGCTATAAAAGCGAGGTTCGTGCAAATTGTTAAGCGTGGTCGGCCATGTCGTACGCTCGAGATATTCTCGCATCACGAGCTTTTCTCTCTCGTCCGGCTCACGCGTCTCCCACCCTCCTCTTTGAAACCGTTTACGCTCGGCGAACGCGACGGCTTGGTTTATCCTCGGCAAGAAAATCGCCTCGAACGAGCCGATCGATCGATCGATCGGCATAAAGCGTTGTCGTTAGTTCGATAAGAAACGCAATAAAAAGTTTCGCCAAGTATCTGACGCGGCTCGAGTCGATGCACAGTTTATACTACTAGGCGAGGTGAAAGTATGCGTTCAGTTTGCTTTTCGATAAGAAAGATGTACGAGAATTTGGGATGTTAAGTTTTTTTTTGCTAAAAGTCAAGCCAGTCAAGGATTAATTAACTGAGTTTTAGCTGTTAAAAGTTAGCCAATCGAAGAAAATTACCGTTAAAACAAAATTCGCCTTAAATTTCATCTACCATAGTTTTTAAGGATTACCCCAATTTTTTTTTATTTTAATTGTAAATTTTTATTGAATTCGTGAAATATTAGAGGATATATAATTTTTTTTTTTAATGATCTTGTTTTTCAAATATGTGGTTCTAGAATTTCGTTATAATTCCGTTTTTTTATTCCTTTTTTTTTCTTCTTTTTTTTCTTTTTCGCCGAGTCAATGCGCTTATACCATTTTCAGAGCTATATCCGTTGCACTTGTAGTATAAATATGTATTTACCTGACTGTATGTGCGTATTAAAATGCACATTAATGATCGCAGCTTAAAGATCACTTCCTTCGTTGTTCAGTATCATGCTATAAACGGTTGTAATTACCGTTTAACTGTAATTCTAGACGTAAGTAATTGCCTTTTAACTGTGCGTAGAATAATGTTATAATCAGATTTTTTTTTTTTTTACGATCCTGTTAAATCCTTCGAGCGTATACTGTTAAATTGGACAATCGCTCGAGGAAATAAAATTATACGTGTTTAACAATCGGAAAGACTTAAAAATCTTGGAATTTTAAACAAGAATGTTTAATTCTCATGTTTAAAACAAAGCGTTAAAAAGCTTTTAAGCTTTTATTTAGTTTATGGGGCACAAGGGAGGACAGAGAGAAATGGCGAATGAATGGAACTTCTTTTATAACGCGCAGAATATACAACGCGCAATTGTTCTATTGAGGCAAACAAATCGTAGGCAGAGGACATTTACGCGCAGAAAATCCATCAGTTATTAGAACTTCTCGATCGATATCCAGAAATCAGGCGGTTAGAGAATTTTTTTTTTTTTTTCAAATCTCCCAGTTCAACGATCTAGTTCGCTCAATTTTATTTTTCCTCTCCATATGAAACGAAAAACGTATATTTCGTATTCCATCCGTTCCAACGTGAACATTTATCCGTTCAGTGTCAATTCTCTGATATTGAGTCGCAATTAAATTCGAGAAATTATATTCAGCCGTGTAGATGTGAGCGTCGATGAAATATATAGATTAGACGCACTATGTGTCTTCCGATGCTTTTTAATCTCGGCTCCGACGAAACGAAAAATCCCTGTGTCTACCGGCCGAATCGTGCGTTCGGCAATTTCCGACATCCCTCGGTAGAACTCGCAAGCGCGCCGCATCGCAGCGTCATTCAGTCGAATGCTGACCGCCACGCGCAAAGGATCGTGTTACGCTCGATATCCGTGTGTCGTCACGAGTCACTTCTGTCTGCTGCTTTGACAGCCAGTCACGTCTTACGTTTCTTCACTGTGTTTACATTCGTGATGTACGATCATCGATCGAATACGGTTCGTTTGCTCCCCGCTTAAATCAATTGTCCGATCCGACTCGGTTGTTGTTCGTTTCTTCGGTATCTAATCGCGATTTCTCCAGCGAGGGCACGTGTTACGTCAAACGAACCACGGATCGAAAGTGTTGCACAGTGCGTTCAATTATTTGCCGTGGGCGATCAAAGATCCGTGTATGCAAACAAGATTATTGTGCTTGGGGACGTTTCTGTTGGCAAACACGATCGATATAAAGAGAATACGACATAGATGGTTGTACGTTTGATTTACTTTTCATCTCGAGCGCTACGCTAATTTTGAAATCGTGTCTGAAATTACATTCAAGAGAGGACATTGTCGCGATCGAGCTATCTCGGAGCTTCTTAACCAGGCACCCCGCCTTTAAACGAATTTAACGAGACCACTCGTCCGTACGGTCAATTCGTGGACCAACCCGCGTGGACTGATCCAGCCGTCCCTCCCGTCTCCTCACTCCATTAGGGTTGACTGACCGACCGAGACGCAAGACCGTACTCCGGTCCCCCGGTGATCAAAGATATACTCGTCGAGCGTGTACGATGCGTTCGATCAATCGCGACACGGTAATATATCGGCGAGGATAAACAACAAACTCGAGGCCGAGCGAAAGAAGATTGTTGTTGAAGCAAAAGGAGCCAAAGGACGAAGAAGGAGCGTAACACCGATCGGTGGTTGTTCGCCGAGAGAGAAAAAGAATTTCGTTAAAAAGGATTCTCCGTTACGTGCGAATCGCGAGCTATACAGACCTATTCCTGGTTAACGATCGACAAAAGTGGCTGGTAATTAGAGCCGGATTAATTGGACCGCGAAGCAACTCGCGCCGGACGCGATGAAAGAGAAGAGGAGCGCCGCGAGGAAGAGAGGGTTGCTCGAATAAGCGCGTGGCTTTCGAGGATTTTCGTCTCCTCGCCGACCGAATTCCACCTCGTTTCTACGTGTAAATATTTACGAAACTGTCAGTGAACCCCGAAGCTGCCAGTGATTCCCAGAATTTGAATCACCTTTCCAGTGATTTGTTACGAATCATCCATGTAATAACAGGCTCGCGCGAACAGTACTCGTCCTACTCAACTATTGGTCAACTATTTGTTCGAAAGTTGTACAGTGTTTGTGGTCAGGTCACGGCTCTCGTTGTTTTCCCCCGCGCACTCGACACTCGCGGAGAAGCTCGCGTAGTAAGTAAAACGCGAGTGGAAAGAAGAGCGATCGGGGGGTTGTTGGAGGGTGGTGGTCGATCGGTCACGAGCGAGAGGAAAGCGGCGGCGGTCAGCGTGTCGGGGATCGGGTCGGATAATGCGCCATCGCGCGACAACGCGATTTTCGGCGATCGTGAGGATAGAATGTTGACAGCCCGTTCTGGGCCTCTTGGGCTCGGTGTCCCGCGAACCCTGGGGCCCGCCGAAGGGAGCGACCACCTCTTCCTTCTGCCCGAAAGAGCGCTGATCATGGACAGCACCCACCTGAGACAGGACCTGGCCGGTCTCGACTTCAACTTGCACCTGAACCTGCTCCACACCGCGCCCCGCGGCAACGTCTGGCTATGTGAGTCGCCACTTTGTACCACGGGTCATTGTCTGATGATGGAATGGTGGAGCACGCCGGCCACCATGCGGTTTTTCTCTCGCGTGAAAACCAAAGAGGGGAGGAGAGATTCCGGTTCGATGGGATTTATCTAGTTTTCTCTTAAAGGTCGAACGAATTGCCGCGTTTATGGTTGAAATGCGGACAAATTGCGTAGGTTGGTCGAACGATTTCGTTCCTTCTTATAAATTATTCGACGTTTCAAATATTAACGGAGAATCTTTTGTTCTTGGAGGATCTCTCAATGGATCGTTTAATAAGACCGTTTTAACGATCACGAGTGTAGAGCGTAATCAAGATACGTTTGTCCGAGCTATTCTGTTTCCGTCCGGAATGGAATGATAAAAATACGCTTTATTGGAAAGCGTAAGCGTGTATAGAATGTGTACGTGTTTCTAATTGTGCACGTTTGCAATTTTTTAATACTTTATTCCGTAGAGAATTCATTCTTACTATAAACAATTACCGTTGTTCGTGCACCGACCATAAATCTTTCGAGCTCTATAATATTCTTGCATCGTGGCTCGCTGCGAGTTTTATCGCTCCTTCATCCAAATCTTTACCGGTTCATTTCTTCGCGATCGAGAGACGAACGCTGTTAAGTTTTAGTCAACGGAATAATGAATTATTGAGCTCTCTGCTCCTGCGTCGAAATCTCATTAAATCCCATCCATCTTAGGTCATAATTTCCAATTCAACTTCTTCTTACCACGACCTCGTCAGCCAGCTGTCACGAATAAGAAAAGCTTTTTCTCGATCGATTCCTCTTTCGCTTAATGAAAGTAAGCAGTAGTTAGAAAGCCCCTTCATTATTTTGATGAAGATTCCGATATCGATTCGAGATGTATCGCAGTTTAATATAATATAGTTTTTACTTCGCTTCTTAACGTTACACGTGTTTCTCGAATGATAAACGAGCTCCGTATAAATTCCATTAAACTTACAAATTCTCGACGTAATCTAATCGTTTGACAATCGTTTTTTCAGAGACTCTATTGCTTTTTCAAAAAAAAAATCCAATAAAATCACTGGCGATCGTCTAGATTCGACGAAAATGTCGGGCAATTCCCGTCACACGGAAGTCTCTCTCTTTCTCTGTGTCTCACAGTTTTTCCGTCTCTTTTTTCCGTTTCGATCATTCGCGTAGCGAAACAAAAGGGCATAGAGGAAGGGAAAATGGGTGCTCGAGAATGAAAATCCTTGCCCTCGCGATGACGACGACAAGGGTTTGAAAAACAAGGGTGCGCGTTATTGGTCCATAAAAGCAGCGGTACCCGTACAACGAGTCTCGCGTTTCATTTCGTTTCGCGAACTTTTGAACCTGCCCTCTTCGATCAACTTTCCATCGCGCGTGTATTTTTCACAACCTTACGTGATATATAAACGCAATTATACACATATAATCCTGCGACAAAACTAAACTATTTATTTATTTTACTTTTGAAGAAAGTAAATCGCCCGTTGTAATTGAAGCAGACCAATACTCCTCGCTCGTTTCTAATATTTATCGTTAGGACAGCTAACGTGCTCATAAAAAATTAACATATCACTACTGGTGCTTCTCGTTAGAATATTATCATTTGTATTCATCGCTGACCCTGTCCTGCCTATTATAGTTTTCGCTCCAACATTTGTTCACGATGTTACTTATCCACGTTTGTCGGGGATAGATAATTGTAATAACGCAGCTATAAACACTCCACTTCTTTTTTTTTTTTTTCCTTTCTTTTCTTGATTGCATCGTTGAGGACAGTGGACTTGGCGGTGTCGTCGTCAACCATTATATCATCTTTTCAGTTGGTACAGTTAGATCACTTATCGTACTAGGACGATCTTTTCCTAGTTTTTAATGGCGTTCATCGCATAGGTAGCTGTTATTCCAACCGTGGTCTAGAAACTCGCAATTTAACGAGACAGCCGGTAATTTCTGTTTACGTTTCTGTCCTCTATAGAAACAACAAATTCCGCGCCGCGTTTCTTAATAGCGCGTGGCGTTCGGACAACGGTGTTCTAATCTTTTACTTTTTGCTAATTATAGTTATATACCACTTTCATGTCCGCTACAGTGTCGACAGATGGAACGATAAAAAAAGGTAAGCGCGTAATTTTCGAGCGAGGTCGCCACCATTAATATTTCTCTATTTTTCGCGTTACACCAACAGTTCTCTCTCTCTCTCTCTCTCTCTCTCTGTCTCAGGCTTTCAATCTTGCTCCACTGCTTTTTCATCAATGACACGTTCTCGAATTATTTTCATTTTTCGTTCCCAGCCAACGATGTCAGTGTCGAGAATTCGCATGAAACACCGTTGCGAAAGTCGGTTCCGCGCAATCTGGCGTAATTTTCCACGTTCCATCGAAATTCATCGAAATTCGATGGATCGTTATGTAGGAGGGGAGAGAGGAAAAAAAAAAAGATAAAAACGCGAAAAAAAATCGTTTGAACGTGTTCGCGCGTTTTCTGCGCGTTTCGTAGAAATTAATTGCGATACGTGCATATTTCGAGACTGTCGAATGCGCTCAATTCCACGGCTATACGCCTGTATATACGTAAGAAGTCTGCTTGATTACAGATAATGTGGCTGTGCTACGTTCTTTTTCCTTATATAACGCGAGAAAGGTGGAAACGAACCGACAACTTTTTTTCATCTTTTTCCGATTGTAAATAAACCGTTGGGCTATGACGCGGTTCGGAGCACGCCTTTCCAACACGTTCTGCCAGAAATTGTAGCCAAATAGTTTCTGTACGAGGTTCTAATCATTTAAATTATTACTTTCGTTTACTTATCATATAATCAAATTGATCTTTCACGAGGATAATTTATAATTTTTGTCTTTATTTAATTTTTAAAGCTATTTCCTTTAATTTTTCACATCCAACCTCGCAATTCTTTCCCCTCGTTAGTCACGGTAATAAAAGCAGCATCTTTTTCGAAAAAAAAATTTCGAGATCGCATCATCCGCAACGAAGAGAATTCTCATCGCTCGTCTCGAAGAATAAAAATAATTGAGATAGCCGTGTTAAGCAATCCACTCGGTACTTACGTTCGAGCGTAATTTCTCGAAAATATCCGAACGTTTATCCAATTTCTAAGCCATTGTTGTATCCTCCAATGTTGCGCCACGCTTCGTCAAATTATCATATCCCCCTCGTTCCCACGATCGTTCTCCCCAATCGATGAAAATCGCGGATGAAAATCCGGGAGGGCGTTTCGTAAACGGACCAGAATTATTCGCATCCGAACAGCTGTGCAGATATTAAACCGGGTGATGCGTAATCGTAATCACGTTTTCCGTTATTACGCTGTCGTCGCGGAATTGTCGAGGCCTCGCCGCCGATCGTTGGTCGCCGACGTGGGAACGCGATAATGATTAACAAAGGCGCGTTATTAGCCACGCTGCAGAAACGTGAAACGAAGTTAACCGTGCACAGAGCCACAAAGGCACGAACCAAAGTGTGCGGATATATTGTTTTCCACAGTTCGGGCGCGGTCACGCCGTCGTAATCGCGTTTTTCAACTCGCGCTTACCAGATGTTTCGGCCGTCTTGTTCTTCCTATCCCGCTTGATAAGGATCGCCGCTTCTGCTCGTTCAACTTGAAACGCTTGTTTCAATTGGATCGTGAAGGATTTCGTTCGAAATCATTTTGATTTAGCATCTCGTGCGAAGTTTGGTTAATTGATCGGAAAGGAAATTTTGGAGGAGGAAGATTAACGATTAACAGTGAATTGATTTTATAATTCTCTCTATATATGTATAATTTAGTACTTTTAACAAAATTTACTTTTGGCTTTTTTTACGCTCGTAATTTAATACGTAATTTTCATAAACTATTTTAATTATCTACGCACGATATATTTAGCTACATATTATGGATCGATACTTTGAGATATTAAAGTTAACAGGTTCTTGAAATAAGTTTTTATCTCTCGGTGAATCGGTTAAAGTTTTATACAATTTTAATTGATAAGTTGATAATATAATTTTTATTCGTTGGATTATTCCATTAGATTAATCGAGGTAGTAGTTATTAGCCACGCTGCAGAAACGTGAAACGAAGTTAACCGTGCACAGAGCCACAAAGGCACGAACCAAAGTGTGCGGATATATTGTTTTCCACAGTTCGGGCGCGGTCACGCCGTCGTAATCGCGTTTTTCAACTCGCGCTTACCAGATGTTTCGGCCGTCTTGTTCTTCCTATCCCGCTTGATAAGGATCGCCGCTTCTGCTCGTTCAACTTGAAACGCTTGTTTCAATTGGATCGTGAAGGATTTCGTTCGAAATCATTTTGATTTAGCATCTCGTGCGAAGTTTGGTTAATTGATCGGAAAGGAAATTTTGGAGGAGGAAGATTAACGATTAACAGTGAATTGATTTTATAATTCTCTCTATATATGTATAATTTAGTACTTTTAACAAAATTTACTTTTGGCTTTTTTTACGCTCGTAATTTAATACGTAATTTTCATAAACTATTTTAATTATCTACGCACGATATATTTAGCTACATATTATGGATCGATACTTTGAGATATTAAAGTTAACAGGTTCTTGAAATAAGTTTTTATCTCTCGGTGAATCGGTTAAAGTTTTATACAATTTTAATTGATAAGTTGATAATATAATTTTTATTCGTTGGATTATTCCATTAGATTAATCGAGGTAGTAGTTATTTTTTTTTTTTTTATTTTTTAACAATCTCGTTACTAAAGCGGAAGGAAGGGATGAAATCGTGGTAACGAATAATTGTACTTTCCTCGCGCGGAACACAATACGATACGATTAGAAAAATTGATCGTAAAGGTTTATTTTGAAAAAATAAAATCGTTGCACTTATCAAATACAAGCAAACGATGAGATTATCCGTATTGCTAGTCCGTCTTATCTTCCAGTTGTTTCAACGATGTTTGCCGTCGTCGACGTTACGTTCGCGATAACAGAAATTTTGAAATTTCTTTCAAATTCAAACGCACATTGAAACGCGCATATCTGGGTAAGAAGAACTCTTGCCAAAAATTTAATATTTTCTTTCTTCCTAAGAGAGATTAAAGAAAAAAAGATATGGATTCGAATTCGAGAGATGCAATTAACATGGCGAAACGTCGTGAATTTTCATCACGAACTTGCCTCGAATCCCAAATGCAGACTAACGTCCTCGCAGTCTGGTTAAGCCAGGTTTCTACTACTTACCGCCGTGATTTCTCTCACGAAACTTCGCCCAAAGAGTTAATCTCGGACGAAATACGGGTATCGTTCGTTAGCTCGTTCTCATTGTACCCGTTAATTCAGTCCTCGATCACGGTTCGCTGAACCGATAAATCGTCCGCACGATTTCTCGAAGATTCGAGTCGTTGCGATTATCGATCTTTTTTCTTTTTTTTTCTTTTTTTTTTTTTTCCCGAAGCTTGGTGTTATCTGAGGTGGCCGTTACCATCGCGTATTTACACAACGTTGATTCCATAACACCTAGAATCGCGATACACGCGATGAAGGGAAAAGAGACGGATAAAAGAGAACTTGTTGTCGGCCAGATTGAATCGCATTAATTATTTTTAAGCCGCGGTCGTGTTAATTAAAGAGGCGACCTTACCTTGAAGCTTGGTAGTAGAACAGGCCACGATTTACCAACCGTGCACGCGTTCATTTCCCGTGTCCTTTGTCGTTTATCCCACCCGATTGATCGTTGTTAATCCGATCAATCGTACAATAATTAACCGGTTAGGCAAGATTATGCTCGTTAAGCTATCACGTGGTTCGTGTCACGTCGACTTATTAACGCTTCGGACCGATCGATAATTTTCTTCCTTTAAACGATTCTCTTCTTCTTTTTTCTTTTTTTCTCCCTCTCTTATTCATTGGCCGGGATGGATTTGTAGCGCGAGTTCTAGAGTGTTGCAACACGACACAGACGTTAATCGAATTAATTTCGAGTCGTGGGCGGCGGCGACGACACAGGGGAAGAGCACGAAAGGCTCGATACGTGCCACTTTTCCACGGCTGATTTCCACGCGAAAACGCCCGATATCGAGCGACACCTTGCGACTCTTGTGCCACGCAACAGACTAATCCTTGTCACCTTGGTCGAACACCCTGGTCGATACCACGATGCATATCCGTTCGATGCGTAATTGATTATGGAACGTCGAGCATTAGATCGAGGGCCACGATATTTCGTGTAATTCCGTGATCTCGATTCAACCGAACGACGAAGCAAAATTGCAGCGGTGACCCAGATATCCGTATCTCTCAAAATAATTAGGAGACGGTCTGCCGGAGAGTTTTTTTATTCCTCGAGTATCCGATCTGATAAAACCAGCGATTAAAAGTATATTTCCTGGGAATGGATCACGATTTCAAAAAGAAAAAAAAAAATCTCTGATAAACGTGTGGGACTGTTTCCATTTAATATTGAAAATTGATCGACGTCTACTTTGTTTAAGATTGATTTACGACATCGGGTATCCTGATCTTCGAAATAGCATGCAAATGTGTGTTACAACATTTGGTTATCTGATGAAAGCCCAAATTTATGATAGGTACGGTGTCAAAGTAGTTGCCAGTTTCGAGGCAGACGCGAGAAAGGGAAATCATTTTATCGTTGGAGAGGCGGCTCGAGAGTGGCGCGCGGATCTTGTCGCGCGTTTGCGTTACCAATGCCTTAACACTCTTGGCTATCGGCGTGTCATAATCCCGAGGCTATGTCACGCTAAGTAATAGATCCATTAGGCGAGTAGGCACGTCAGACTCCTTTGACCCCTGCGCCAGACCTCACTCCACGCTCCTCACTGGGTGGTATTTGCATACCCGATCATCGACTCGAGGAAAATGGCACGCTTGTTCAATCGGTTTCGATAATTAAGATGTGGATCAATTTTCAATTGAAATTATTCGTCTCGAATTTGAAATTTTAAACAAGATCACACGTTCTTATAATCTTTCGATCGCAAACAACTTGTGCCAATAACTTCTAAAGTTGAACGTATAATCAATCGATTTTCTTTTGATTTTCAGGTGAGTATCCTTTCCAACCGATCTAACGACATTAAGCTGCCATGACGGCTCGAAAGTTGCACGTGAGTATCTGATCCATTCGTCGCGCATCTCACTTCTCGACAAAAAAACAAGAGAGGGAAAATATATAAAACAATCATCGTCAAATTTTTAACCATCGTAAAAATTAAAGGTAACGAACCGTGCGAACCAAATTTCTCTTCAGTTTTTCTCGCAATTAACGCGCTCAAGGGTCAAAGCGATGAAACAGCTTTGAATCGAAATTCCGTGACTAACGATGTTAATGAACGTATCCAGTGGTTTAACCACGCCCCTATTGACGAATCGATGCCCGTGTCTCGGCCCGAAACGGTTCGAATCACCGGAAACGCGCGTGTGCCCTAATGACGGAGCCACGTGATCGATGAATTCGTTTCGGTATCCTTGATCGCGTATCTCGTTATACAATCTCGCGTTACGTGTACGAATCTTTGTTGTTGGGATTAACAAGGCGCGGTACCGAAATGATGATCGATTCGCCACCAATTCCACGGGGAGATCGACGGGGGAGCCTCTTAATCATTCGAAATTACGACCGTGTGACGTCGTCAACGCTTATTTCCCTTCGTTTCCCTCCCTTTTTTTAATATCGTTCGAACGCGACTCGACTCGAGGATCCAACTGTTTTAGCTATATATATATATATATTTTTCTTTTTATTCCCCCCTCCCCTCTCGTGTTCAATATCATCGAGATGGAATTTGGACGCGTCGAACGAGAAAGAATTCTACAACGCTCACGCTTCATCGCGATGGAATTCTAATTAAGTTTGTCATTAAGAACGAAGTTTAATGTTTGGATAGGCTAATACGTCGAATCGCTAGTTACTCGCTTCGAGAAAGCTACCCGAGATAGAAACTACAGGAGATTTATATGCGATAAATCGAAAACAAACAATATTCACCGGTATTTTTTTAATCAACCTAATAAATTTTCTTCTTCGTAGAGTCGAATAAACTCGAGATATAGAAACTTAATAGAGGATTCTACTTATGCTTCTGCTTTCGTTTCAATCTTTAAACAGTGGAGACTTCGAAACAGTCTCGTTAAATATTTAACATTCCTTTCGACTGATTCTACCTCATCGTATAATTTAATTCGAATCGTACGTCGTACGATACGCGTCCTTCCGCTCGAGCTGTCGATATCCAACGAATGCAATTCTCGAAAACCTCGACCCTTTTAAAAACCCGCTCCATCGCGCGGTTTATTCAACGCGTATTGATAAATAAATACGAAGCATGGAATAGAAGTCGATCTGTCTGAATTCTTCGCGAGTCAATCGTCGCGTGGCGACAATCGAATCTACGGATGGGATCATCGTAGGTGGTGGATCGTCTTCCAGATAGACTCGGTGACATTTGGCGTTCACCTTTAACGGCGAAACGTCGTATGTCGAAACGTCACGTAAGATAGAAACCATTGTACGCGTTATCAAGATCGCGCTGTGTTTTTCGACTCGGTGAAAGAAGTTAATTCGCCTATTAACGCGACCAGGCTAACGAGAAACGATGTCAACGAACGAAATCGATGTTAATTTGCGGAATGGCGATTCCCTTTGATGGCCGCATGTTAATGACAGATGTTGAGAAGTGTGGGAATTTAGAAGTGCTCTCGTCGATATCGATCGGGTCCGCTTAACTCCAGTCTATAAAATCACGCTGCGAGCCGAATCCTCTCACTAATTAATATCTAAACAAAGTTATCCGGGATTTTCAGGATAATCGAACCGCTTATTCGAACGAAATGGAAAATGGAAAATCATTTCATATATATATGTGAGAATCTTCGAAATCTCTTGCAACAAAAGAGACAATATTTTCGAAACATCCGAATCGCGTTCTATTCTTCGCGAAAGATGTACTCGATAAAGCGAAACGATCCACCATCGCGTATCTTTTTTCTCGTGAGAAATTCAACCGAAATCGACGAACGAATTGCGAATACCATAGTATTTACAATAGTGCATCGCGATAAAATTCTCTTCGTGTTTTGCGATCTTTGAAAGATATTTAGACTTGAACTTGCGGTTAATTTCGGAAATTTCGTTTCGAAACGGCTGCCAAATTACGTGGTGCGTGCGGGGCGTGTAATCTGATTTATAGATCAGAAATTGGGCGAGGCGACCTAGCACCGCGGATCAATACCTTTTCTCTGTTTGTCCTCTCTGTAAAACGGACTCGTGCTACTCGTGGAGAAAATTTCTGGATGGACAGGAATAAGAAAATATCCCCGGTGTCGTTCTGTGCAATGGAATCTTGAATTCGTCGATGTTTACCTCGAATACTATTCTGTACTTCTCTGTGCTCTTGAAAACTATGTTTTCAAATCTATCGAAATTGCGAAGCCCGAACGAGTTTTTCTTTTATCCTACGTATCGCCTCTTTATTCGATACGACAAAAGAAGGTACGATTTCCCCGATCAATTCTCGTCCGTTACTCACCGGATGACGAACGCCTCTCCGATCATTCGTATATGATTCGATGTTGATATACTCGAGCGAGAACAATAATACACGGACGTCTAAATGACGGGGAACTCGGTCGATCGAGACCCGGCGTCGCTTGAATCGAGGAGGAGGAGGAGGAGGGATGAAGTGGAAACGATTCGCACGTAGTCAGACGTGGATCGTTCCACGTTTATAATTCCTTTTGGCGCCGTTAAAAATTCCGATTCTGAATGCCACCCGTAATGTACGCCAGCCATACGTACAGCTATTCTTTGTCGTTGAATCCTCGATGCATCGGCAATGAGAAGGAGGTGAGTCACTGTTGAATATAATAACGGCGCCAATAAAAACGATCCTGACTTCTGGCTTTGGTCTTGATTATTTCTGTCAGTTTAGAAAAGGAAAGTTAATTTTAGTTGACATTATTATTGTAAGGAACGTTACGCAGAGGTTACATTTATAAATAAAATAAGAGTAGTGTAACGAAGGTTCGGTTTATTGGGATTGGAAGCTTGTCTCTGTTTCGCTTTCATTGTTTCCGTTCCGATCCGATTTGATTCCATTTGATCAACGTTTCGTTTCATCCTCGACGCCCGGCCATTAGAAATGTTGGCAAGCGATTCTATATTGAGAGAGAGAGAGAGAGAGACGTTTCGAAACTTGCCGAGATTCGAATTCTTGGGAATTCTCGTTCGACAAGTAAAACGGATGTTTCGTCGTTCCATCTTTGGTTCGCGAGATATCGAGAAGAACAGGATAAAGTCTTAAGCCTCCATTTTCACGACTTCCTCCCCTTCGATTTCTCAGACGTCAGCTCTCCCTCGATTCCTCCATCTCGACGGAAACCGCGCGGTTTCCTCTTCCCTTTCTCGCTTCCATAGAAATATCCAAGACATAGAAGCCGACCGGTAAACCCGAGAAAGGAAACTCGACGTAAGGATCCCTACGTCGGCGTCCTTATTACATCTTTTCTCCTCCTTCGAATTCCGAACGATGGAACAATGAATGTTAAATAAAGAGCTTATTCAAGCCAAGTTCTTATAAATCCTCGCCAATCGTTATCTTTTAAGTCGGAGCACGGCTCGAAAAGGCGCTCGATAAATCTCCTCATTACGAAAGCCACTCGGCACCCTGCCAGCGCGTTGTTCTACCGGCCCCCTATTCCCTGTTTCGACATCTTCTTTCCCTCGAAACCACCTCGAAATTCCTCGATGCGTGGCCAGCCTTCATCTTCCGATCCCGTGCACACTTTTCTATCGATTTCTATCTCCGCCCCGCCCTCTTAAACCCTCTTAAACCCTCCTCCCCTCGAATCGCGTGGAGGAATCGTGTTTTTCGTTCGGCAGGAATCGGTCGAAAGCATTTCTGACCTGGAGCACCGTTTCTTTCGCTCGTCCGTTTGTTTAAGAAACGAGTTTAGCCGCGTTCCTTCTTCTTTCGTACGCGCCTAACGATTTACGCGGAATCCCAGCGATTTTGCGCCGGCCAGATTCATCTCGGAATTTCCACCGTTGCGTTCGCTTTTTCCGGGACACTTTGCTCCCGGAATCTTGCCTATCCAACCCCTCCTCCTTAACGGTCCCCTCGTCCAACGGATCTCTCGACGGATCGATCCGCGTTCCTCTTGGACGATGCCTCCTCCGCTCTTTCTCTTGCCGCTGCAAAATTTTTTCATTATTCTCCGCAATACTTTTTGCTTCTAAGAAAAAAAAAGAAATATATATATATTCGTGAAAATATCGCGTTAGTCGTTGCACAATACTTGGTCCAAAAACGATCTTGAAACGTTTAGATAATAGCGTGGTGGACGCGAAAAAAGCGGCGGAGGAATAAAAGCGTTTTCTCGACCTTAGAGAGTCAGTCGACTCGCCTTCGTCCACCGTTTCAATATAACCGAATATCGCAAAAAACCCTGCTCGCTGCCAGTGCAAAAAAAAGGGGGGGGGAAGAAAAAGAGAAGCCTGGTGGACCTCTTTTCCCTATAACGGTACACGTAAAATCCAGCGAGAGAACGAGACACGGTTAATGCGACCAAACGGTTGGTCCACCACCGTGCTCGTGGAAAAATTTAAACGTCAATTCGCAAAGTTCCTCCGGGCAAAGGATAATTCGCGTCCAGTCGAATATTTCCGCATTTCGAACGGGCAACCGGGCAACATTTTTCACAAAAGCCAATGAGAGGGTACGTTGCATCGTCGTGCAAAACGGTTGTAGAATTTGGCTCGCGTGTTACACGTGCGTTCTCGTGGTCGGAAATTCCATTGTGGCCGTCCGATCTGTCTTTCTTTTTTTTTTCCTGTCTCTTTTTTTCCTCCTCCATTCCTAAATTGTTTTAATTGGATAGGGTAGAGACACACACAAGTTGAGAATCCTCTGTACGTGTGTACGCGAGGCACACGTACGTGGCGCTTTGAACGGGTGCGTGTGGGTGTGTTGAATCGATAGTGCTTTGTGTAATACGCCGTAAATAAAACTAGAAACGTTTCGGGTTACCGGAAAATCGAATGGGAACTCGGAATTAACGCGAGGATACTACGAGGGTATTAATGGTTTCAGTTTGTCGCGTGTGATCC